GAAACTATGAGAAGCTGTACAGCCCAAAACTGAGTACTTCACTTGCAGTTTGTTTTCCAGAGACCGCACATTAGCTAGCAAGAGGCTGGTGTTAGGTATTTTTTTTAGTCAGATAGATATTGATTAGGTACTTGTTGTATTAGAAATGTTTAGTGGAGACAGGATCTCTAGTTAGACTGTTTAAACTCTTGTCATGAGATTTTAGCAGGGTGTACGTGGGCAAGGATAACTAGATAGAAAAGTTTGATTGTCAGCAGGCAGGATGATTATTATTATTATTATGATATGTTTAGCCGTAATCTTAATCATAATATCTTCCTAGGCTTAATGTCTGGACATGTCCCTGAATGTCCTGTATGTTCTTAGATACACACCACTTAATCAACACTCACACACATTGATTTTCTCCATGTTTTGACTACTGCTACGGTCAGCTGTAAAGCTGGCATATCAGGTGACGCCACGGTTTGACGTGCCTGTGTAGAATGGGGTTAGCCCAAACCAGATATAATGTACAGGCCTGTTGGGTTCGGGGTCTTTCATTCTTCATCTGCCTGCGCGCAGTATTGGAGGTGGAAGATACCTGGACGTGTAATGTTAATTTTACCTGTGATCCTTGAATAAACCAGCACGTTTTTTTGTATCCACTTGTACCGCCTCATCTCTCTGAGTTTCACTGGTTAAGCGTAACTGGGAAATATCTTTCACTGGGTAGCGGTGGTCGGCTAGTGCAAGCTTTTAGCCTAGCATGGAGCCCTCCCCTCTTTCTGCGCTTGCATCTCCGTCTCCGGATTGCTCTCCTGGGATCAACCTGTTCACTCGGGCTCGGTGCTTCGAGGCCTTCCTGGGGATGATGGTAGTTACCGCGGGAGCGGACAATTAGTTGTAGCTCCGGTGGAATATGTATATTTTATATACATACACAGCCTTATATGTATATGAATTAGAGAATGAAAAAGTGAGTGAGAATGTATATGCATATGTACTGTATAAATGTGGCCAATAGGTCCACGATGGAACACCTGCCGTCTCTTTTCCAGGTGTTCTTCCTCTCTGTACATGCATCCTCCATGTTGCTGTAGTTGTATTTTGAAGGGCCCTCCGATCAGAGACCAGGACTTCAAGTCATGCCATGCCTGGACTCACAGTTAATTCAGTCACTGCGGCTTTCTAGGCTTGGTGCTGTCCCCTTCTTAACACTATGTGTTTGTATCTTTTGCTCTTGTTATCTTCACTGCTGACAGAGCTGGACTTCTCACATGCCTATTATTATCATCTAACCAGCTCTTCCAGGCAAGAGACAAAGCGAGTATAGAATTAAGTCAAATGGCAAAATATGTCATAAAAAGAAACATCAGTATAAAATTGTTGTTTATAATCACCTATATACATGACTTCAGCCTAACATTAAAATGTATATCAGTATAGTGCAGCCTGCTGTTTGGTGCCTAGTAGCTTTAATAATTGCAAATAGCCTACTGCCAGACAACTGCTTTAGATTAACACAGGCCTTGTAGCAGATGAGTTTTTCACTAACTTAATGATAAAACTGACTGAAACATACTTTAGGATGAGCTCAATTTCTGCTCTCAAGTACTGACACAGGTCAGGGTAATACTAAGCCTCTAACCTCAGCTGAATAAATAAGGGAATGCTAACAGCTAACTGGCCAACTTACCTTTCCCACAGGCTCCATGTGTCAGCACCATGTAGATACACGTCTGTACCCAGCGCTGTGGCTGTCTGGGGATTTATAATGATTGAATTCTGGCATGTTAAAAGTTACTGTATCACAACCCAGCAGAGCAGGCAGAGTAAGTGTGCAGGTGTTAGCAAGCCATGAGCAAGCTTAAGAGACATAAAAGAGAGCAAAATAGATACTGGAGTCTATGTTGTAGCCATTCCTGAACAGGCAAACAACAGTAAACAATAGTCTGGGTGGAGCAAGGAGTACCACCCGCTGGACACATGCTGCACTCTTCTCTCTATTAGTGTACTGTAGCTGTAGCACCAGAACACTCATATTCAGCTTTATGTCCCTCTGCCTTTCTAACATCAACAGCTTGTAACACATCCATCAGAAATCTGAAAACTGCTGACAGAAAGGAAGAACATTGTATTAGCAAGTATGAGCTGCACCAAGCAGTGGTGGATGATTGTTTACTTCAGTAGAAGTAGCAATGTCGTTATGTAAAAACATTGTTACAAGTAAAAGTCCTGCATTTAAAATGTTGAATAAAAGTACAAAGGTATTAGTGCATATACAGGGTGGGTGAAAAGTAACTAGACATTAAAAATCGGCTATAGAACTTGTAGTATTATTGGAGTCATGATGAAAACAGTCTCTAAACAGACAATAATAAATAGGATTTTATATGAAATGAAGAAAGGGTCATTAAAAACACCAAAATTATGCAAATGTGTGGACTTAGGTGTCCACATACTTTTGGCCATATTGTGTATCTGTTGGATGAAGACAAGCTGATATCAGCCTTCTCATCTGAAAGGAGATTTTTTTTTTAAATTCTTTAGTATCATATGAAATCCTGTTTACTATAGTCTATTTACAGAGATCTGTTTTCATCATGACTCCAGTGATACTACAAGTTCTATAGCCGATTTTTAATGCCTACTTTTCACCCACCCTGTATATATTTGACTTCTGTTTGCCCCATGCATCGAAATCTTCTGAAACACTTGGTTCAGTCTGACCGTCTACACTGCATCCAGACAAACTAAACAACAACACTAATGCAGACTCTGTTTGACTAATATATCTGCAGCAGAATATGAAAACAGGTTGTGACCACTCTTTACACTGTGAACGGTACTTTTGAGGAAGAGGAAGTAACAAGTGTTACATTATCACATCATTTTACTTCCTGTTGTTTGGCTTGGTAAATGCCTTCCTGACAGATAAAGCAATGACAAAACTGATATGCTGTTCAGATAGGTATCCTGTTTGGTGAGAGCGTGGATGTCTCAGTGATTCTGCAGCATTAGCAGCATTTTGGTTTTCACCACTTCACATTTCAGAGGTTAGAAACCTGCGTCTCAGTGCATGACTAGCGACAAAAGAATACAGAATTTTAAAGATGCCCCACTAAACAAATTCCAGGTCCTATTTGTGTTGCTTAAATGTCATTAAAAAAGGACACATCACTGACTTTGAGGGTCAGTTTACTGATAATGTAATCAGCGTTATGTCCTCTTGGCTTTTAAAGTCTACAAGTATGAACAGAAAAGTTGCTTTGCAAACTGAAACAACTGAAGAGAAAAGGGGATGACCTCCGAAACAGCAATCAAGTGTTCTCTTTACTGCCCTCTTCTGTCTGATGATCTGGTGAAAACCTCAACTACAGTAAAACTATGAACCACTAATCAATGTGACAAAATGGGTTTTCTCAGGACCACAGATGTGTAAATCCCATCTGCTTTACAAATCCAGTAGGCCAGCTGTAATGAGAATACAGGAAATGGTTCAGTGTATGGAGCTGAATGGCTGCTCCTCATCAGTTGATTCTACAGGACGGCTGTGGGTGTTCTGGCCTTGAGCACAAGTTAAATGAGAGCACCCAAGGACTGAGGATGATTTATTCATATCAGTCCAACAGAAGGCCAAGTCTTTTTAAATGACAAGAGCATCATTCATGATATTTGCAGAGCCACCATGCTGGTTACTAAGTAAACTTGCAAACCCTGTCACCTTGTTCACAGGAGGGCTCCTAAGTACATCCAACAAAATCTCTGGCTTCTTGTATTTTCAGGATTTTAGATATTATGAGGTGGAAAATGTTACAGTAATGCAGCTAAAAGAGTAGTAATGTTTCCAAACAATAAGATGAGCTTAAAATGAATGTGTTTACATGCACATTACAGACTATTGAGAGATCTTCAGGAAGGAAACCAGTCTTCCATCTCCCATCTGTCATCAGGACTTCAGGAGAGGAGGTGTGCCACTCTCTCTCCTTCCAGGAGTGTGCAGTGCATGAATTCAGAAGGACAGATTCGAGTCCAGACTTGAAAGTCGCTTCTATACGATTACATTTTCAGAAATGAAACTGTCATGAAATTATCATAAAAACTTTATTCATCATTTTGTACACAACAATGTCTATTGCAATACACTTTCAATATATATATTCTGATAAATACCCTCTGCCAAGGCTGTTATGGACAATAATACGTGTCTTTGCTGACCACTGTAGAGCTATAAGTGTGCTAGCTTAAGTCAACAAGACTATTTGGCCAAAGAGATACAATGATGTGTAAAACTCTGAGGAGATGAATTGTCTTTTCTTTGGGTGAAGACCTGTTCTCAATGGAGCCTTCCTCTTTTAATCCTGCTTGAATCTGTCATGTCTGTAATCTGTCATGCAAAATGGACTCTGGAAACAACCTTCAATACTTCAGCAAAAATACCAGATTCAGCATGGGAGGATTCATCACAGCATGCTATCCTAACAGAGAAAAGAAGCAATGTCCAACATGGTTAAACTAAACTAATGATCCCATGTCATCTTCTAAATGACAAAAAAGGTGCATATGTGCAACTTCTGCATCATATCCACTATTTGCCCCAACATTTTCTGTGAATTCCTTGTGAGTGTGAGGCCAGTGTAAATCCTCGGAAGGACAGGCAGATTGTAACGATGACTTAGAGAAATAAAACTCCAACAACATGTTTCATCTTTTAAGACACTGAATACAATACTATAGGAATTGAGGCAAGCACGCACTGTAATCAGTCAGTGGCCAAAATGGAGCTTCACTTTAAAAAAGTATTCTTTTTGCCTGTATGAATCTGCCAAACACACTAGGTTTTGAGTGGCGAGGCGACAGTGGTGTGGTGGGTAGAGCAGCTGTCTCCCAAACGGAAGGTTAAAGGTTTTAATCTCAGTGCCTGCAGTCCCACATGTCGAAGTGTCCTTGGGCAAGACACTGAACCCCCCCCCCCTTGCCCCCGATGGTTAGAGCCATCGGTTGAGTTGGCGCCGCAGGTGGCTGCCTTGGTTCTGTACCGGAAACAAATTCCTTGTGTGTAACATACTTGGCCAATAAAGGTGATTATCCTTGATGACAAAAGCTGAGAACAATCGATGTGGCATAATGTTGCACAGAACACAGCTGTTAGTTTGTTGTGTACAAGCCACTTTGGTAACAGTTGGAGCTGAGCCTCAGATTAATATGTCACAGTTTGTACTGGAAAAGAGAGGAACTGACAGAGTCAGTGTCAGGGGGCCGTCCGCCCGTCTACAACCTCCTGTTTGGTTACACAGCTGTTCCCCAGCAGCACCAGCTTAACTAATACCGGTTTACAGTATATATGTCCCTTAAAGAAAATCCTGTCATGTCACTTCCAGAGTTTGGAGGAGTTAAAGAGGACTGATATAGAGAACAAAAAAGGAGCAGAAGAAACCAACCAAGCAAACAAACACAGTAGACTGCAGTAGCTGGAGTCAGACTCAAGCAGCCCACATCTTGAACTGAACAGCTGACAAACCAGTAGCTAAATATGGCATGTGCTGTAGCACTAGATATGAAAACGAAGCCAACTTTAAAACCTCTGTGCAGATGTAAAGTCAGTCATTAAAGCATAAAGGCTTTGTTCTGGCAACCTTCATCTGTGACTCAGCTTCATGCCTTGTATGTTGTGGGACTACTGATTTTTCAAGTCTCAACATATTATTGGTACTAAGATATGTAGTGGAGGGTTGTAACCGCTGTGCACAGCTTGAGGCTCAGCCCTTGTGGCAGACCTCCTCCCCCTCTTATGCCTCCCTGATGTCAGAATTTGGCATCCCCTGCACTGAACACTGGCAGACTGTCGGTGTGTAATTCCCCTTGGCTCGCCCTCCTTACAGAGCTGTGATTCTGTGCCTCGCTGTCGCCATACAACAACTACCTCCTTTTCGTCATGCTAGTCTCCAAGCGACCCAGTTCCTCATAGCAGCGGTAGAAGACTTCCAGTTCGTGGTAGCTCCAGCCCCTCCAGACACACAGGCACCACTCCATGTTTTCCTTATGAAAGGCACATACAACTGTATCCTTTGCCACTAATGCTGCCTCCTCCAGGATGCTGAGAGAAACAGAGAGAAGAGGGAGGCAAAAAAAAAAAGAGTGAGGGAAGGAGAGGAATCCAGTGCGGGGAAGGAGCTAAAGATGGTGGTATATCTCCATGCACTGTAATTAGCTCTTCTTAGAAGTTAGTGGGCAGTTCTAGGAAGTGGTTCCCTAGGAAGCCACTGACAATACTGAATGTACTGTTGCAGAAGTTGCTGTTTGTCTGAGTTCTGGTAGAGAACAAAAGTCCTGCACATCTCTCTCAAATGTCTCCCACAAAGCTCTTTCTTCTAGGAAGAAAGAAATGTAAAATAGATCAAAGATTAATATTAAATACTGGCACAGAGCAGTCCTACTTCTGTATTACTCTAATTTACAAAGAGTGTGACACAAAGGATTCTAGGAGGAAGAAAGGCTTCCGCCGACTATGTCCTGAGCACAACCACTCGTGTATCACGCAAAACAACTATGGATTAAATACTTCCATTGTTGTTTCATCTTTCTGAGGTGTATCATTATCCTCTCCTGATGTGAGCTCATTTTCTGTGATATACAGCCTTATGATTACAAGAGCAGGCTGATGAGGCTTGGTAAAGTCACCAAAGGTTATGAGATGTCAACACAAACTATATGAGACATAACCCAGCAATAACAACCATTACATTTGTAATGGAGTCTAATCAGACTGGCCAGGCAGCACTATGCTCATCATCCTTACAGAGAAAGTCCACAACCAGGAGCTATGTAACATAAATGAAGCCTGACAGCCCCTTCTTTGACTTCCACCATGAGCTGAGCATGTCACCTACGTTACAGGTGCACTGTGTAATAACTGCTCACTGAGCCTGTTTCCAGTGATCCTTTATTGGCTGCTGCTGAAAGGCCAGGCCCCGTTGTGGAAGCTCACACAGATGTCCATTCTGCAGAAAATGATCATCTACAGAAATAATTACAGACTCAGATGAGCTTTATTGAGGCATCAGTAAATTCAGATATGGCTTTTTGGCTTGTCATCCCCAGTCCTGAATGGTTTCAAGCACAGCTGGAAATGGGCTCTTGCAGATGGAAAAAAAACCTCAATTTAGAACTCATGAGGACCCTTTAATGTTGGAAGGAATTTATTCCTAGACCAATTTAATAATAATAATAAAATAAAATAAAAACATGTTAATAGATTCCAAGTCCATCTTATTAATGCAGAGGCAACATAACTAACACTAGGAAAAGTGTGGCCTGGGCTCTTTAACCAGTAACCACATTACCTGTACAAGAAGCATCAGCCTGTTTGGCCAGGAGCCACTTTTATCTACATTATACAGCTCTGTATACTTTGAATTCTCTTCATATAAAGTGCTGGCTTTAGCTCAGCACAGTGCAACACGTGCACTTGTCATCCCTGCCAGTTTTTCGGTCACCCAGAGCTTCTACACAAATACAATGCAAATATTTAAATAAAGTATTATTAGATAATGTGCTTAGAGTCTTTTATAGCTTTTAAAATGTCCCGCTATTCTGTTTAAAATGAGGTAGAGTGTTGCAGTGGGTGGAGTGTTCAGACCTTCCCATTTAAGACTGATGTTCCACTAAAGCAGATGTCACTTTGGACTTTGTACCTTTCATTTATGAGACTCATTCATTCATTCATTCATTCATTAATCTTCTATACCGCTCAGTCCCAAACGGGATCATGGGGGGGTGGAGCCAATCCCAGCCAGCAATTGGGCGAAGGCAGGGTACACCCTGGACAGACCGCATTTATGAGACTGTTAATCACAATTGACATTTTTTTATTTTAAACATGTTGACATTGTTGAGTGCATGTATACTGTATGTTTACATGTAGTATCTGGTACCTCTACTATATTCCTTGCTAAGAATTCACATGCCACATCAAATGCTTTTGCCGATTTCACTTGGATTTCCAGCTGCTTTCCGGAGTTTTACTTCAGCTGAAAAGTGAGCTTCTATCAGCACTTAAAAATAATGTGTCAACTGACTAACTGTGAGTCTGTGTTGCTGACCATCAATCACATCATGAAAATAATCTTACAATTGCACTTTTTTAGTACACTGGCCTCAAACTGAGCTGAGCTGGGATGTGACTGAGGGCGGAACCTGCTGCAGCACAAGCTATCTGGCACTGGCATTGTAGAGTCTGCTGTCATGCAACACTAGGCTTGCTCAAAATGAACTAGGGCAGTGCAGAATCAATCAGTGGCTATTGCAGCATGGTGTGTGTTGGATACATTTTGACCAATAAGCAACAATAACCTCAGGTGGTCAACTCAGCTGCTGCTTTTTGAGCAAGGTGTCACAAGCCCTGCCCACTGAAAGCAAAACTTAAGAGCATGAAAATGGCAGATTCTCCCCTGATCTAATGCCGTGTTCACACACGCATTCTCTCATGAGGTTCTGTGTGTGTGATGTATGTTGAAGCTTTTTTAATAAAACAGCAGAGCTGTATATTCCTGAGCAGGCCAACCTGGGGCAAGGCCACATGACTGTGGGGGGCTGAGCCACTGGCGTGTACCGCTGCCAGGTGTTGGGATGTGGAAGTAGGCTGCTGTGCTGGCAGGTTAAACTGCCTGGAACTTGACTGACACCTACTGTATAGTTGTGTTCATGCTGCTTCCAGCTCTTGAAGGCTGCGTCAAAGTTAACTGATACATGTTGTAAAGACAAACATAAACTTCATAACTGTCACTTCAAGGCAGAAATGTTTGAAAAACTTTATAAAGAATTTATAAATCTTCATAAATTTATATTCTTCATATTTCTTCAGTTTTATTGAGAATTTATAAAACTGAAGAAATATTCTTATCAATAAATGGGTGATTTATTACTTTGCTGCTCAAAACAGGAAATAAGCTCACCCCAAAGAGGAACATCCAGGTGGACTGAGGACAGCAATGACACGCCCCCTCAGCTGACTGCCATGTAACTGCATTTGGATGACAATCACATCACCTCCACGCCTGCCAAACAACAACACACATTATACGTACAGTGTGTTATGACCCTGGAAAAGATTGCAGCGACTGATTTGAATCCAGACCTGCTTACAGTGCAAGTCTATGATAAGTGGAGATACGTGTCACCACATAAAAACTGGCTGCATAACACAAACTAGTTGTCACATACACTAAGATGAAAGTGTATTTGATACATGTAGCTAACACTAATGCAGTGCAATATGTCAATCCTGCCACAAGTCCTGTCCTCTGTCCATCCATTATCTATAGCACTTATTCCGAATAGGGTTGGGGAAGGGGGGTGGGGGCTTTTCTTTCTGTCATCACGTTCCCAGTGGGTCAGAAGTTTTACATACACTCGGTTAGTATTTGCTAGCATTGCCTTTAAACTGGTTAACTTGGGTGAAAGGTTTCAGGACACCTTCCACAAGCTTCATACAATAAGTTACTGGAATTTTAGTCCATTCCTCCTGACAGAACTGGTGGAACTGGGTCAGGTTTGTAGGCCTCCTCACTCACCCGCTTTTTCAGTTCATCCCACATTTTTTCAATTGGATTGAAGTCAGGGCTTTGTAACGGCCACTCCAGTACCTTGACTTTGTTGTCCTTAAGCCATTTTGCCACAACTTTGAAATTTCTCCAAAAAGTCAGATCTTTGTCCCCATGTGCAGCTGCAAACCATAGTCTGCCTTTTTATGCAAATCCAAAGCTTCTAAAGCCATGACATCATTTTCTGAAATGTTCCAAGCTGTTTAAAAGCCCAGTCAGCTGAGTGTATGTAAATGTCTGACTCAGTGGAACTGTGATGCAGTGAATTAGTGAAATAATTTATCTGAGACCAAGTGTTCGAAAAATTACTTGTGCCACTCATAAAGTACATGTCCAACCGACTTGGCAAAACGAGAGTTTGTTAACATGACATCTGTGGAGTGGTTAGAAAATTGGTTTAATGGCTTCAACCTAAATATATGTAAACTTCTGACTTTAACCGTATAGTTATGGATTTTTATTTTTTATTTTTGTGATTTTTGCACATACCCTCCATGTATAGTATACTGTAACTTATACACAGCTACACGAAAACAATTAAGCCATAACTTGTACAACAGAGTTTAAATTCTGATATTACAATTTAAGATGGGTACATTTAATACTGTTCTTTCCTCTGTCCCCATTTAATCTGCATAGGTTCACTTGCTGCTACTACAGTGGCTCATCAACTACAACTACTTGATGTGCACTATTTTGTACCTGGGGATCCACAAAGTTCCATTCACTGGCAGCACCGTGAAGGCTTGCAGCTGGGGTGTCTTGGGGTTCATAGTCTCTGCAGACTCGAGGCTGGTGCATGCTTGCTGGTCCTGGTCTCTGCCCATCTCATCATGATCTGCTGGCAGTGAGCTGAGGCCTGTGGTGCTGGAACAATCTGACCCTAGCAGCTCCAGGAAGCAGTTGGATGATATAGAGCAGTAGTCTGTCAGTGAATCCTGGTGCTGGATGATCTGAGTGCCCCCCTCCTCAGTGTAGATCAGTGTCATTTCTCCACTAGCTCTTTCCAGATTCTCTTCTTGTTCCGTGGTCTTGAGGTCATTGGCTGTGACTGAGGTAACTCCTGCAGGACGCTGCACAATGAAGACATCCCGTAGAGGACTGCTGTCTCCGCAGCTGAAATCATGACATACAGTCAGAAGAAAAAGTAATGATCATGACAGTCATGATCTTTTATGACTCTATTGAACACACCCACGGCAGTGTTGTTTTTGGAGAGCAATGGCTGCCTCCGTGGCATCCTGCTGCGGATACCATGGCTGTTCAATATTGCGTGTATGACATATTCTGTGCTGACTCATGAACAGAGATGTTAACGAGCTCCAATGAATCCTTCAAGTCTTTAGCTGTTACTCTAGGGTTCTTTTTTTTACCTCAATGAGCATTCTGCATTGTGCCTTTGGAGTGATCTTGGCTGGGCACCCACTTCTATGGAGAGTAGCCACAGAACCAAATCGTCTCCATTTATAAACAATGTCTAACTGTGGGCTGATGAATATTTAAAGTCAGTGAGATGACTTTGTGACCCTTTCCAGCTACATGCAAATCCACAACTCCTGATCGTAGGTCTTCTGGGACCTCCTTTTTTTGTGAGGCATGGCTCACATCAGCTGATGCTGCTCATGAATAGTACACTGACACTGTCTGAGTGTTTTTATAAGTCAAGATCATTCTAAACCACACTTCTACTCTCGTTTCATTGACTGGACTCCAGTTTACATTTAGTGACATCAAAAGCTGAGAGATGCCATTACTTTTTTCACCATCACATCCACTTTGCGTGTTTAATGGATTTGTTCAATAAAGACATGAAAGATCATGACTGCGTTTTATCAGCTTAGAAATATTGTATTTGTTGATATTTGTGACTTTGGCGAAGATCAGACATTCCATGACCACTTTCTGCAGAAAACCAGGAAATGTCAAACAGTGCCATTACCTTGTCTTGCAATTGTAAACTCAAACACTCACATTCAGTCCAAACTCAATTATGCTTCACACTGGGCATGAACAGCTTTTCATTTGTGCTCAGCTGTTAAACAACAGCTACGAGTGTCAAACAACTTTGACATTAGAAAAAGGATGTGTTACCTCACTGTTGTAAACTTTCTAATCAGCGTTACCTAGGCAACCTGAAGTAATTAAAGGTGTAATGTTGTGTCAGATAATCTTGAATGAGGAATGTCAGACAGTGTTCTTGCTTTGGCTTCATTCTGCATTTCCTTCTAGACTAGCCTGGTCAGGTCAGGTCAGTTTTCAGACTTAGCTTTATCTCAAGCCGAATCAGTGTTATAATCTGTGTCGCTCAAGTTCCTTCCCTAAAGGTTCCGTTTTACTAGTATACTGTGGCATGAGTCAAACTGTGTGTACATCACAAAGGATGCACGAAACTGTGATTAAAATATGAGCTGGTATTTCTTCATTCAAAGGTATCTATACAATTTTCCAGTTAAAACATGTGCTTTTAAATGCACTGCAACAACTTTGGGCCACTGTACAACTCCATATAAGTAAAAGTTGTGACGGTAAATCACGTGTCCTGTGTGACATCAAAAAACAACACAGCAGCACTTTATTTGATGCGACACCTCATCAAATAATGTGCTGCTGTGTTGTTTTCAATGTAATACAGGACACAGATTATTTACACATCACTATTTTCAGTTTTAATTTTGGTTTTACATACCATCCCAACTTTTTCTGATTTGGGGTTGTATATCATTTTCATAATTTCTTCTCTTTACATGATATAAAATAAAATTAAAGAAGCATAAAACCAGAAATATATTTTTCAGACATTAAATTCGGAAGTATCACATGCAACATAATGTATATGTTCATCGTATGAAGAAAGTTAATGTCACTCATAAAGGACTTAAATTCACAGTGCCACAAATAAAAGGTGAGCACAGCAACAAACTGAGGTACTGTGACAGAGGACTTCAAGTAATTAGTTTTCATATTGACTTCTGACAGTCTGAATTCACTACTAACCTACAAGGTGATGCTGTGCGTTCACTATCTGTGTTTCTTCACTGTGAACTGATGTGATCACAGCTGGATGTCTCAGGTCTGAGTTTTACAGTCAGAAGCTAAACCAAACCTGACATATTCTGGTCACATTAGCTCCTGATTAGTTTTATGAAACAAATTAATCCTGGTTCCATTTGTTAGGTTAATTCAAGACAGAGTTCTTATAGTAAGCCCAATAAACCATCTCAAATCCTGCCCAGTGATGATGATGCTTCCTGTGGCAGCCTTGTACAGTTCCACTCACCAGTACTTGGCACAGAGGTTGTAGGAGGCAGCATGGTAGAGCAACAGGGTGTTGATACAGTCATCCAGGGTCCAGACTGCTTCCTCTCCCCACAGACTGAAGCTGGTTGCCATGGATACAATGGAAGACGGTGGGTTGTAAGGCTCCAGCCTTCGAACTGCCTGAAGGCTCAGAGAGTCGATGACCAGCACACCTGGACCGTTGGAGAACCATAACTAACAAACACACAGACAGGGACAGGACCAACGCAGTGAGGACAGGCTGTTATACCAGCACTCATAATGTAAAGACAGGGTTTGACTTGATGAGTTTAAGCTGTCCTTTTTTCAGCAAACGTCTTAGTGATTTATCAAACATGATACTGTGGTCAATACATTTCTAACTGGGTCACCTGGGAGTCACTGTTGACCAGAGTCATGCTCCTGACTGGGTAGGGTCTCTGTCTGGGATCTGAGTCCTTCAGACCAAACACTGTTTTGTTAAGGGTGTGAGAACACAGGTAGGTTTCCCCCTCCAAAGGAAGGTCCTCCACCAAGCTGTACACTGCCACCAAGCCATCAGACATCCCCGCAAACACTCTGGCCAGGTTCTTATTGGGTGAGGAAGAGATAGCATTTTATAATTATCTTTTAATAATCAGCAATACAATGAAAAGTGTTTTGTGTCCCATTGTCTAAATGCTATTATAGAGGCCTGTTCACTCTAGAGAAGTGTGACATTGTTGTGCTGCGCAATGAAAAACAATATTATACACATCCTCAGCCAAAAAGTAGCTAGTCATTTCATTCCAGTCAGTGAACAGTCAGTACAGGTTGGAGAGCAGACCCCACCACTCACTTCTTCATAACACCTGGAGTCTATTATCTGCACTTCACAAGGTACCTAGGGCATAGCAGCAGGTCAGAGGTCAAATGATGGACAAATACTGGACATAGCTTTCCTTGTTGTGTCTAACTAATGTTTACTCTGAACAAATGTACAGTCATTGTAAAAGGATGTTCTTTAGCTTAAAGAAGTCAGGAAACTGCTTGTAAAAGTTTATTGCTCTTTAGGTTGGGAAGTCAGGACATAGGAAATCTCCTGATAAGAAAACATACATGGTGACCTGACCCCCACTACTGAAGGGGACAAATGTTTGACAGAAGAAAGAGCAATAAACCTGCAATGAATAGTATATGTAGCTCTTGAGGAAGTTCACTCCTTTGAGCTTACCGCAAAGACACTTTTGAGTAGCTGTTGTATGCTCCTTCTTGCAAGAATAATTAAAGATGCCTTGATAATTTTCAAAGTCTCAGCATTCCTTCGTCTCACAATGTTAAAAAACATCACAACACCAAACAAAGCTTTTCCCACAAAACAAGTCAGCCTGACACGGTCATGGCACTGAGATGTTTTAGGCCAATTATTGCTGTGTTTCCATTATCAGAACGGGTGAATATGCTCAGTACTTCACGCATAACCTCCTGGGCTGACGCAGACCACTGTATTTTTCTCTCTAGCAGTCTCTGTTGTTGTACCCAGTACTTTTTACCATACTGACTCTGAGAGACGAAGCAGTCCAAGTAACTACAAAACAGTGCTGATTTATTCCATGAACACAGGTAAAAATTAACATTACACGCTCAGGCATCTTGCACCTCCAACCTGCATGCAGGCAGATGAAAGATGAAAGACCCTGAACCCACCAGGCCTATACATTATATCCCCTTGGTTGGGCTAGCCCCATACTACACAGAAACGTCAACCGAGACGTCTCTGTTACCAGCTTTGCAGCTGGTCATAGCAGTAGTCAAAACATGAAGTAAATCAATGTGTGTGTGTGTGTCTGTTGATTAAGTGGTGTGTAACTAAAAACACTTTCACAGACTTCTAGTTACATGTCGTGACTTAAACATAAGAACATATTATGGCTAAGGCTACAGTTATACACATCATAATAATAATATTAAACATCCTGTCTGCTGACAGTCATCAACTCTTCTCTCTAGTTATCCTTGACCAGATGTACCCTGTAGAAACTCATAAGCATGACTAAGCATTTAACAGTCTAACTAGACATCCTATCTCCACTAAACATTTCTAATACATAAAGTATCTAACCAATATCTATCTGACTGAAAATACCTAACACTGTTTAGAGGATGGAGGGGCTGCTCCTCTCACACAGGTAGTCAGCTGAGTGGAAAGAGAACTGGCGATGTGGAGGATCACTGCACAGGGCAACAATCAGCTAGTAACTGAGAGTGCAGTGTATCAACCAGCTGTTGAACAAGCAGAACACAGACTTGCAGAACCACCTCCAAAGTGGACACATTGTAGTGGAAACAAACATAGAACCCGTGACGGGCGTTACTCAGCTCGACACGTTTGGGTAGCTTCCTATAATGGAATAAACCCCTTAAGCATGACAGGTAATCTATTACCTGTCATGTAAACAGCTGGAGGTGGGGTGGGGAGTGTGGGCTGGTCTGATCATTGATATGGATGTGCAAGTTTATGCCTTTTAGTGGAAGTCAAGTTTTTTTTATATAGTGATCTCACATGAAAAATAATCAAGAATTTAATTCCTGGTTTGCTAACCAATTACATTTTTCTGCATAAGAGATGATAATTATGTGACAGATGTGCTACAGGCAAACAAAATGTTCATTTAATCCCTGTTTACTGAAACTGGTGCTGGTTTCTGTCTCAGTTTAGAGTTGTGCTGTGTAGGAAGAATCACAGAAATTGCACAAAACAAAATTCTGGGTCCCTGGTAGGCTAGTGGACACACTAGACTACCAGACACAGCGCTTTCGCCGCTATGCCTCGGGTTTGAATCAGGGTTGCATCAGGAAGAGCATCTGGCGTAAAACACATGCCAAATGTCAACATGCGAGTCGTCGGTGTGACGATTCGCTGTGGCGACCCCTGAACGGGAAAAGCCGAAAGTGACTTTCTATTCAGACTGACACAAAAACGTTAAATCATATTTAAGTAATAAATTAAAAATCAAAACAAAGCAGTATCTTCTTGTTGCTGACCACTGAGATGCTGTACAGTAGCTGTCCACCATTCGATGACCTATGTCATGTGATCAGCAGTGTTTCTGGTGTATGTTAATTTTTTGCTCACAAATGACTGATTTGGAGTACAAAGTAATGACTGATGTGCACAAATAATTAAAAACATTGATCCCAATAGCTGCTGGGGACTGTCGAATCTCATGTTCAGACTTGGAAACAAACTGAACATACTGTATAATGTAATAAAATCTGTTTATAACTGTTTTTCCTCACTTTCATTGAAACTGACGGCCATCCAGTCACAAATCGTTGCTCATCGACACGCTGGTGAATGGCAGCATAGACATGAGAACAACAGTTTTTGTTTTTGTGTGCTGAGACATGAGCTTACCTGGTCTCTTGCTGGAACAGGGAACAGGCAGGTGATGATGGCTGGACAGGAGAACTGTTTCTGGGGTTGACTGAGTGGACACATGTCCTTCAGACTGTAGATAAACACCTCCTGTTCCTATGACACAACACAAGCTAAATCAATAATAATGAAGACATTTTGTGTAAAACTGCAGCATGCTAGGCAATAAAACTTTTTACTTGGTCACATTTTTAAATTTGTGGATTCGACCAATTAGCACAGGCATTAGATGAGTTGATATAATTTCCTTCATCAAAGAGAGGGCTCTGCTTATTCCAGGGACGTTCATAGAACAACTGACTGCCATATTTAGAGACTCTCAAATTCAAATTCACTTGTTTTTTTTCAAGGTATTTATGATGGATATTCTGCCTTATCTTTACTTTACTACAAGCAGTATTGCTTTATTTAAATAAAAATCAAGTATTTTTCAGGTGGTGTTGGCTGGGTGTACCTCAGTGGCCATCCACAGCGTGTTAGACATCTTCATTTGACAGCTAATCCTACTGCCTGGACAGGACATCCTCTTCACCTCCACCTGGCCTTTCTCCACATTCACCACACTGTAGTTCCTATTCAACACACACACACACACACACACACACACACACACACACACACACACACATGTAACACTTCAGTCTATTCAGTTTTATGTACATTTTCCATAATTTACCAATAACGTGTTTACTTACACAGATAAAATGCACACAAAGTTAAGAGCCTTTGGTTGGATTGGTGAGAGAAATTTATGTGAGCTGGTCAGTGTCAGCTGACCCCCAACTCCCAGACACCCCCCACCAGACATGCACCTCCCTATCACCCCACCTCACTCCTTCTCCCCGACCCCAGTGAAAGAAGAGAGTGCACACATTCAAATGGAAAACATAGTCCATTGTAAGCAATGTTTTGTCTCCTCATGATGTAAATAGCTACACTGGCCATGTCTGTTTAGTTTATTTAATTTATTTGACAGGGACAGTGCTCATTAATCAATTGAATGGTAAATGAGCCACAGGTAGCCCACAAGGCAATTTGCTGCCTGCCTACCTGCATCATGCTAGATACTGTTTGTTAATCACTACTGTAGTTGAAACAAGAGTTAACATTAAATTAACAGTTACTAGCAGATACCAGCAGTTACTAGCTGTCACTCTATAAACAAACTGGGTAATGTTATATACTGAGGTGAACTTGCAGGGCTGAATCATTCATCGAGACTCGCTGGTGTTAGAGATCTGTAAAGGGGTAGAGTCAGGTGGGCTGCAGACAACAATATTCAACCTTCTGCCACACTTGTAATGCTCAGGGCTTGCTTTCTTAACACAGTATTTAATGTATGTTAGTTAGTTCAACCTATCACAAATTACTATCAGGTAGGCAAAATATTGCAGCACCGCCATTTTTTAAGCAGCGTATTTACCAATACTGATTATGTAAATGAGCACAGCCACAGATATGTTAATGTGAATACACCTGTGCTTCAGATTTGCTACCTGAAGGCTGATATGCACGTGTAGTCCGAGAGGAAGTCGGAGTCTAAGTTTATAGAAACCAAACTTTAATATGATCATCACTGTAAATTGTGATCAGAAAATCAATCAAATGACATCAAATCCTATAAAATGGATCAAAGTCACTAGAACAATCTGATTTTAACAAAACTGGAGTATCACTTAGATCATAAAGGACATGTCCTTGGAATCTAAACACAGTCTATCTCTGGGAACCGCACCTCAAAAGTGCTGTGTTTGGCAGCAAATGGCATTTTTAGTGTTTCTTTTGCATTAAAAAGAAAACAAGTTGTCCAAATGAGATGGTCTTTCAAACACACTAATACAGGAAACCAGTAAATGAAAGAATATATCTGAGGTAATACTCTATGTCACAAGTACTATCAACATTGTGATGTGTGACATTTCCCCTTTAAAAAGCAGACTGCATCATGTCTACTGCTGTATAAACAATCCTAAACCTAACCTTCTGACCCAGATCAGGGGCTAAAATCTATTGTCACTGTGAGAACGCAGATCAAATAATACTGAGCTGTTTAAATGTGTCCAGAACCAAGTTTGTTAAAGGAAAAAGCATAAGAACTATATGCATAAAATGATTCTTCATGCAAAAGCAGTTATTAGAAGGCTAAAGAGATGAAACAAACCTGGCGTCCTTGTTTCCATTCCAGAAGACAGCATTGTATCCCTGCAGCTGGGACAGAAAGAGCTGCGACTGATTGTCACATGACAATAAATATCTGAGGCAGGGGAAGCTGGGATCCTGCATTTGCCTCACACACTGCATCGCCACTGGCCTCTGCACACACACACATACATATCTTTATGCCTTTGTGTGGCCCACATTCTGTGACTTCTTTGTGAGGGCCACCACTTCTACTATAGCTACAATGGTGCAAAACACAAATCTATCATGAGGTGGTAATAGAAAATAAAAATGTCACTTCAGAATTCAGAAAACTCGAAATAAAAAAAATCTTTTTCTTCTACACGTGTGAGTACCAGAGCCTGTTGCCAAGCAGATTTGGTGAACTGGACCTTCTGTCACAAAGCACCAAAATAATGCATGTTATATCACCAGATTTTAGCAGATCTTTCATAACTGTCCCATCTTACTTTCCTGGTTAACCCAAACCACAGCATTACAGAGATGGAAGCATGTGGTTTTTAATTTTACCAACGTAAAGTGTATTTAAATTTGATTGTATTTACATCTATTAAAAAATGTATTATAAAAATGGTATATGGTATGCATCTCTGCATTTAAAACTGGGTAGTTTTGCAGACACTTAAACTTTAGGTTTTTTTCAGTCTTACATGTCACTTGCTAAGTTTGCTTAACACCAGTAACACTGAAAGCAATGTTTGACAAAGTCCTCTAATCTTGATTTACCTACTTTAATTCACCCACTCCATTGATAGAAGCTTGATAAACAATTTAGCACACAAAATTAGTCACAACTGGCTTTATTTGCACAACATAAATTAAAAATGAACTACAACAATTTCCTTTTTT